GAGATACAGCAGAATTTTAAATTTGAAATTTTATTTATCAAGTGTTTATTGAGTCCTGCTATGTGTTCCTACACTTTTAGAAGCTACTGATTTTTTTGCCCTTTTGGAACTTAACATTTTTTTAGGAGAAAGACAATAAACAAATGGGTATATAACATAAGACCAGCTTGCCATCATGCTATGAAGAAAGAATAAAAGAAGAAGGGTATATTTAGAGCAAAGTGTGACTCAAAGTGTGGTGATAGTCCATACAGCTCTTAGTCCCAGCTCTATCACTATTTCTGCAATTGGGTGAAACTCATCTTACATGCCAATTAAATGTGCAGATGGAATCAAATAATATGTATGACTCCTTTCATCTTGAAAAATTTTCTAGGATTCTGAGAAATCTAAAAGGATTTTTGCTTTTATTTTTTGCTCCTTGGGATAAATTTTCGAAGAAAATAATATGTAAGTTTGAATTTTACCAAAGCTGAAAAAATGTAGTTCACTTCCAATCCTGATTCTTAACTCTGTATCCTAGGAAGAGTTCATCATTTCCAATAAAACGGATGTTAGATTCCAGTAGAAGCACTGTAAGTGGGGAGCCATCTGTAACGGGATTTCCCTATAATTAAGATGACTCTGCAGAGAAAGTTATAAAAGCCAGTCTTCCATGATTGGCTGCAAAAAGTAAAGCACTAAAGTTGCTAAGTAATACTATAGATTTCAAAATTTATATGTATCTTTAGAGCTAGTCTCATAAAGAGAATGATTATTTAACATTCTAAATTTCTGAAAATGGCTTTCATAGAGGGGAGAAAATGTAACACACACTGCTTTCCTTTTTTATCTATGGACATTAAAATGTAAATTTCACCTTGGAGAGTGTGGAAAATCTTCCCATGGAATGAATGCTAAATTGAGCGTGACAGGTGGTCGTGATTGATCACTATTTATTATCAGGAGAGGAAGAAGAGAAGCCTTTTTTGTCTAATGAAATATAACACAACACAAAAGGAAAATGCAAAGACAGGTCATTTTTGAACTACAACATAAACCATCTCTTTTTATTTTTTTTTATTTTTATATCTCTTTGAAAAACTGAACAGAAGCATATGAATCTTATTCTTCCCACCTATCTGAGGGGTTACCTTGGACTCTGACTGCCTTGTACTTGAACAATCCTTGTTCCAATTCTAATTCTGTCCCTTAAAGCTGAGAAAACTTGAGCAAGTTGTTTAGCCTCAGGTAATTTCTACCCTTTGGTAAAATGGGGATGGTGGTAACTTAAGTCACATATTCACTGATTAAAAGAAAAAAAGTGTGGCCATCTTTAAATATTCAGAAGTCATAAAACAGCCATTTTCTTCTTCCTCCCCTAGTTTCTTTTTCATTTTATTTTTTATTTGGGATGAAAGTTTTTGGAGTCATCTTAAAAATTACAAGCATTCTTTTAGCTGCTGTAGAAACTGGTAGACTGTCAAACCTCAGAGGGAAGGTAGGGGAGGTTGAGATCAACCAAAGGACTTGTACGCAGGCATGTAAGCATAACCAGTGGTCACGGACAACAGAGGGGTGGGGGCATGCATGCGGAGGGGTTTGGAAAGGGAATGGGGGGATGAGGACAAATATGTGATACCTTAACCAATAAAGAAATTTAAAAACTAAAACAGACAAGAAGATACCACCAAAAACAAACAAAAAGAAACTAGTAGGTTCCTTATTCTGCCCCCTTCTGGCCCTTAAGAAAGTCACATATCCTCCCAGAGCCTCACTTTTCTTATGTACCAAATAAAAATGATACCAATTCATAAGGATCATAGGTTCCCCCATGGACTGTGAGTGTTTCACTTTATGAATATATGTTTATCTTAAGCAGTGGCTTAAAATATTGGCTTCAGGTATGTGTTTCTAGAATTCTGGAAATAACATATTTTTGTATTTGTTTGTGTGTCTTTTTCTGGAGAGAAATTCCTTTCCTTTCAAAACATTCCTAAAGAAGTTTATGACTCAAAATGTTTAAAAACCACTTTCTCAACATGAGACCAAACAACTTCCTAAAAAGCAAGAGGATCATAACCTGAGCAGACGTGTTAACGTAATACCATAAGGAAAGTGTTGATGTGGATAGAGTTTGGTCCTCACTAGAAGTAGAGTATAATAAAAAGGAGGTCACAGCAGTAAATATTGACATCCTCCAGGGAAGAGAGGAGATCTTGGTGAATGGTCTTGAGGAGTTCTAATGCCAACATCTAGATCAACCTTAACACGAAGACCGAGGAGTTGTCCACTTGTCCTTGCTGGAAAGGGTTCCTATTACAATGGCAATGCCATCCCTTTATTATTGATTTATTTACTTATTTTTAAATTAAGTTTTATCGGGGCAACATTAGTCAACATGAACATACAGGTTTCACGTGTGGATCACTAAGTTACAAAATCTGTATATAGGACAGGTGCCCACCACCCAAAGTCAGATATTCTCCTGTCACCTCATATTAGGACCCCTTTCTCCCCCCGCTCTCCCCTCCCTCTGGCAACCACCACACTGCTGCTTGTGTTCATGGGTTTCAGTTTTATATCACACATATGAGTGAGATCATATAGTTCTTAGCTTTTTCTGTCTGACTTAGTTCACTTCCCATAATGTTCTCAGGGTCCATCCATGTTGTTGTAAATGACACTATGCCATCCTTTCTTATGGCCGTGTAGTACTTCAGTGTGTATATGCACCACATCTTCTTTATTGAGTCCTCTATTGCAGGGCACTTTGGCTGTTTCCAAGTCTTGGCCACGTGAGTAATGCTGCACTGAACATAGGCGTGCATTTGTCTTTGCATATAAATGATTTTGAATTTTCCAGGTATATACTCAGGAGTGGGGTGGTTGGGTCATCTGATAGCTCTATTTATAATTTTTTTGAAGAATCGCCAGACTACTTTCCATGTGGTTGTACCAGTCTACATTTTCACCAACAGTGAAGGAGGGTTCCCCTTTTTTCCCCAACCTCCCCAACATTGGTTATTGCTTGTCTTGTTAATAATGGCCACTTTTACTGGTGTAAGGTAATATCTTATTGTAGTTTTAATTTTCATTTCTCTGATTGCCAATGAGGTGGAACATCTTTTCGTATATTTATTGGCTGTTCATATGATTTCTTGGGAAAGGTGTATTTTCAGGTCCTCGAGCCACTTTTTGATTGGATTGTTTATTTGTTTGGTGTTGAGTTTTACAAGTTTCTTTGTATATTTTGGAAACTAAACCTTTTCAGAGCTGCTGCTTGCAAATATCATCTCCCATCTGGTTGGCTGCCTGTTTGTTTTGTTGTCCATTTCTTTTGCTGTGCAGAAGCTCTTCAGTTTAATATAATCCCATTCATTTATTTTTGCCTTTACTTCCCTTACTTTTGGGTGAAGTCCATAAAATGTTTTCTATCACCCAGGTCCATAAGTTTGGTACCAATATTTTTTTCTAGGTGACTTATAGTTTCAGGTCTTATGTTTAAGTCTTTGATCCAATTGAATTAATCTTTGTACATGGGGACAAAGTGGAATCCAGTTTCCTTCATTTGCATGTGACTTTCCAGTTTTCCCATTTATTGAAGAGACTGTCTTTACTCCAATGTACATTTCTGGCTCCTTTGTCAAAAATTCTCTCTCCATATATGTGTGGTTTAATAGCTGGGCTCTCTATTTAATTCCATTGATCTGTGTATCTGTTTCTCTGCAAATATCATGCTGTTTTGATTATCGTAGCACTGTAGTATATTTTGAAGTCAGGTATCATGATACCTCCAATTTCGTTCTTTTTTCTTGGGATTGCTTTGCCTATTCTTGGTCCTTTGTGATTTCATACAAATCTGATTTCTCCTTCTATTTTTTTTTAAATGACATTTGGATTTTGATGGGAATTGCCTTAAATCTGTATATTGCTTTGGGTAAAATGGCTTTTTTAACTATGTTGATTCTTCCAATCCCTGAGCATGGGATATTTTTTTCATTTCCTTGTATCTTTTTCAATCTCCTTTAATAATGTTTTGCAATTTTCATTATATAGATCTTTTACATTCTTTGCTAAGTTTATTACAAGGTGTTTTATTCTTTTGGTCCTATTGCAAAAGGAATTGTTTTCTCCATTTCTTTTTAAAGGGATGGCTTCAACATAATAAAGGCCATCTTTTTAGATATGGCTCCTTTTCTTTTCATTCTCTACTCACTTCTGATTATATCTTGTCTCCCACGTAGTTCTGTTTACAGTGAGTATTCTTATTTGTGGGCCAATAAATTTCTCATCAGGCATCTATCTCAGTATACAGCAGTCTCCTCTGTTTGGTAATACGTTTCTCACCTCTGAGAAATGGGACCCTCTGGGTGTGCAGTTTTGAGTTCTGCAAGACAAAGAGCTCAAATGAGATTCGCCAGAAAGTTGACTGTCTTCCCTGAGACTTTCTCAGTATACTCACTGCCCATTCACGGTGCTTCCTAATCATTTCCATGTTGAACCTCTGTCGGAAAGAATGCCTATCTCACCCTGGTTTGTGTGACTCAGTTGGTTGAGCATCATCCCAGGTTTCTGCTTCAGTTCCCAGTCTGGGCACATGCATGGTTTGCCAGCTCGATTCCCAGTAGGGGCTGTACAGGAGGCAGCCGATCAATGTTGTGCTCTCTCATAGATATTTCTCTCTCTCCCTTTCCTTTCTTATCTCTCTAAAAATCAATAAAAATATCTTTAAAAAATGCCTACTCCATAAGGTTATACAAGAATTAAATAGGATAATATATGTTGAAACTATTGAGCCAGGCCTTGTCATAATGTTAATAAATGTTCATTTCATTTCTGCTCTAGTTCTTTCCCTTCAATATCAACCCTCTGCAATTTGTCACCAGTCTCCCATAATAGTCACAAGAATATTTATCACTTATACTTTTCCTTTGTTGCATAAAAACTCATATGTCACCCTAGCTGGTTTGGCTCAGTGGATAGAGCATTGGCCTGTGACTGAAGGGTCCCAGGTTCGATTTCGGTCAAGGGCACATGCCTAGGTTGCAGGCTCGATCTCCAGTAGAGGGTTTGCAGGAGGCAGCCAATCAATGATTCTCTCTCATCACTGAAATCAATTATATATATATATATATATAAAATTTTAAGTCAGATGTCCACATTGGATGGCATTGTATTAAGGGGTGGGGGGGATATCTTACCTCTTTCTAATGCTTACTAAAATTAAGAAAATCTATACATTATATATGTCTTAGTATTGCTGTTGTAGTGATTTAAAAAAAGATTGGGTATAGCTAGTGTTTATTTTTTTTAAATAATTTTTCATGTCCTAGTTAAATAGCACCTTTAATAACCTTTTTATCTAAGTAGTAAACAAATTCAATGAAAAAAAAAACCTTAAATGCCTGTAATGTGCAAGTTTCTGTATAAGGAAGAAATATGAATAAGAGTCCCAGCTCCAATGATTTTCTAAGCAAGCCTATGCCTGCAGAAATACTAGCTTTCCCAATTATCTTACTAGCCTGATAGTAAGAGAAAGTTTTACCTTCCTTATCTCCTACTCCCAACGTTATCACATTAAAGTCAGCCAACATGTGGAAACTTGGCGTGGCAGGAGTATTTTTGGCCTCTTTCTTTCTAGGGAGGGTATTCACAATAATATCCTAAGAATTGACATTTATCCTTCAACAGTGATTTTCATCTACTGGAGAACATGTTTTCCACACTAAAAGTGCAATGAGATAAAAGACTGCTCTGTGATTCATGGGAGGGTAACCAGACCATTCTAAGAGTCTCTGTTCCCTGCCTTCACATGGACATGGCAGTCTCATAATGGTAGAAAAATTAAGTTTTGTATATATGCCCTTAAAAGACACAGAAAGTTATCCTCTTTAAGATGCTTTCAACTAACTTATCTAAGTCTTATTTTTCTCACTTATCAAATGAGATCCATTTATTCACTCAAATATATATTTGCACAAATTGAACCCTAAAGTTTGTGTTTTTCTGCCCCTCTTTTTCCCCTCCCCCCAAGAATTTAAGTATATTTAGTCCAGAAAACGGAGGGGGAGAAAGTCTAGGGAGATTCTGAGTTGGAATTTGAGAACAAGGATTCCAAATTTTATATCTTTAGTTTTTAACTACCCAACAGTAAGGGCCTTGCAAATTGTAGATGCTGAGATGCTGAACACACACACACACACACACACACACACACACACACATGTACGTACGTGAGAGCCAGAGAGAGACCTAAGGATTTGGGGGAGGGGGAAGGGGGGAGTGGAGGACGGCATTGATGAGGAAGCAAACCTTTTTTTTTTTTTTTTTAAGTCAAAATTAAGCTTGTATCATTTGAAACTATAATTTTGAGGCATACAAAATTTCACCAGGAAATGTAAAAGATGAATGTTTAGCATGCTTTCAAGTGAAGGCCTTCTGTATATTTAAATGTCACTGCCCCCTGCCAAAGATAAGCATCTCTTGGTGGAAATAGGTCCAGTGTGCACTTGTAACATGCTTTTAAGGATGGCCTCTTCTATAAACTCATTGCTTTATTTTTATAAAGTACTGTAGCACATTTTAGTGCATCGTTTTAGATGCAGCTTAATAATTAGCCACATCCTTTCTCCAGTGTTTTTATATCACAGCTCTTCCAGAAATTGACTTCTATATAGAAATCACATTTGAATTACACTTGAGGTAAAGCTTAAAAGCAAATATTATGACTCAGGGTTATAATTTGAGGCTTTAGAATTACTGGTCACTGAAGACACCGCTAAATAGAATCCAAGCTGATTTCTATTCAGGAGCGGATACGAAGTACGGGAGCCTCTATTATCGTTGACTTCAGGGATATTTTTACGGCGCCTCCTGACAACTCTGCGATATGCTAGTCATCACACTCGTCGGGATTCCTCTTATTCGTGTAGTGAGGCTTGGAATTCTGAGGGACTACTGCGCCAGGGCTACGCTTTCATGGATTTCTTCAGCTTTGCCCAGAATTTCTTAATGCTTTGCATATGGAATGAAGCCTCCTCGATTAAGCTAAAATGGAGCCATGCAACCAACAACTTTTGTTTCTAGAAAAATGATAAATTTGGACAGAGAACTAAATGTTGCCTGCTAATCTAATACTTGCAAGAAGCAGGAATGATTCAAATAGTGCATTTGTGTCGAAGAGCAGATTTCACATTTCTTTAAAATCAGTGTTCAGCAAACGAGCATTGAGGCCCTTCTCTCAGAGTCTTTGGGGAAATAATGGTGAAAAACAGACTTAGTCTCTACCCTTTTAGAACTTATAGCTTAGTGAGGGGAAATACATTCATCAAATATTGACAAAAATTGATCAGTAGTTCTAAACTGTGATGATTTATACAAGGGTTTCTCAACCTCAGCATTACTGACATTTGGGGCCAGATCATTTTTTGTGGTGGGGGGTGCCCTGAACATTGTAGAGTAGTTAGCAGCATCTCTATTCTTTACCCACTGTAGCCAATAGCAGCCCCCTCCAAGTGTGACCATAAAAATGTCTTCTGATGTTCTCACCCCTGGTTGAGAAGCACTGATTATATAAAGGAGAAATACAAGGCACTTGGAGAACCTCTAGCAGGGAAATTGGACCTAAATTGGCAAAATCTGAGAAGTGATATGGGAATGTGTGTGTTAAGCTCTGATGGGACTGCCTAGACAGAGGGCTGAGAGAGCTGGAAAGGACATGGGGAGAAGGAGAGGAAAATGGCAGGAAAACACGTTACTTAAGGTTAAAATGGTGACATGTGAGTTACCCTAGTGAGTTCCTCAAGGACAGGGCCAGCTGTTCCGTCCCCTTGCAGTCACTCTAGGACTGGGTACATGAAGGCCCTCCTGAGATTTTCATCAAAGGCATAATACATCCAACCTAACAAGGACAGTGCGAAGCATTGGGGAGTGGTATAACTATGGCCAGGCCATGCTCTGGTTCCTGTGAACTCACAATTTGTTGGGAACATGATAGAGAAAACTTGCACTGCTCTGGAGGCTGGGGGGAGAGAGAAAGTTTGCCCTGAAAAGGTGGCATTTGAAGAATGAGGAAGTATAGGCAGGTGCCAGCTGGATGTATGTTTCTCTCCCCAGTACTCATTTTCCAATTTGTCAGTACTTCCATTGTTGCCCTGAGAGCTTCGGCCCACAATTAAATCTAAACACTCAAATGTTGAATTAGCACTTCTCATATAGGAAGACGATAGATAGATAGATAGATAGATAGATAGATAGATAGATAGATGATAGATAGATGATAGATAGATGATAGATGGAAAATATATATCTATATAGGTATATATCTATACATGTATATATCGATATATGTATATATCTATGTCTAGCTAGTCCATATATCTCTCTATATGTGTGACCCTCGCTCCCTCTTCTCTGTACCTCCAGCCGTCTTCAGGCCCCCTCCCTCCCTCCCATACTCATTCCCAGACAGGCAAGTTTCTTCCTGTAGAGGCCTTATACCCTCAGCTCCACCCTCAGCAGCAGATGCTATTTCTTCCTAACAGTTCCAACCAAAGCACCAGGGATCCTGAACTTCACTGTACCTTGGAGGATACAGTGCTCTGATTGGCTAGTAACCCCCTCCCCAAATCTGCAGGTAGACATAGCTTCACCCAGATGGCATCAGAATGAGAGAAAGATGTTTCCACAGGCAAATCCAAGTACTATTAATTAGTCAAAAGCATCCCTTGCCCACTCTAGCAGCCTACCTGACTGCACTGTGAGCTCTGCTACAGTCACTTTGACATTTGTCAGGCAGGTGCTTGGCACTCGGACAATATCCAGTAAATATTGTGAATATTGGTTGAGTTACTGAGTGGATGAGCCAATAAATTGGTATTATTGTTTTGTTTAACATTTAGAGCTCTGATCATTGAGGGAGAATAGTCAGGAAAACCAGCTGGGAGTCTGGGAGTCTGATGAAGATATTTGGTCGACTTCGTTGTTGTGTTGAATTTCAGGGTTGCAGTCTCCTTCCTAGTACAGGAGCAAAACATCCCAAGGTTAGACACCAATCTCTCCCACAAAGAAACCATCTGATGAAAAGCCAGGAGTAATACAGTCTTGCGAAGGCGAGTGCCGCACTATCTTGAGCGATAAGGTGGAACACCTAAGTATCCTCCATCGAAGGAGAGAGCGAAGCTGTCCTCATGCTCTGCAGGACAGATAATGGCTCGGCAGGCAGTGGCAGGCTGAGCAAGAAACTGATCTGTAAGCACCTGTAGTTAGAACATGGAAAGGCACAGCCTGAAATAACATTCGGAGCTTAACATCCATGCAAATAAATTTACCTGGACCAAGCAGAATGGTCAGAGAGCACAAGAGCGTGAATCTTGACAAAATAGCAGCCATGCCAAGGCCCTGGGTGGCCCAGCTCAGCGCCCTTTCTTTTATCCACCCGCAGAGCCACCTTTGTAGAATGAAGCAGGCCTCTCTCTCATCAGGATACTATGCTCATTTCTCTGTGATGCTGACCATACTTCTTTTTAATTGGGACAGGAAGGCCTTTTCCCTTCCTCAGCTTGCAGGAGAGGAGAGCAGAATATGAGATCCTGGCAGAAGGAGGAGCCAAGAGAAATAAGGATGGAGCAGATTTATTAGGACACACTGTAAGCAGATGCGTTCAGTGTATAAGCTATCCAGCTACCCCTAGCTTCTGATGCTGTTATTCAAAACATTTAAGAAATGTATCCTCCATTTTCTCTATAGAAATAATACTTATGTATATGAGTGTAAATTATGTAATAAATATATACACATATGCATAGATATGTATACATATATATTATTAGAATATCCTATATAATAAAAGGCTAATATGCAAATCAACCAAATGGCAGAACTTATGGTCACTAACCACCAGGGGGCAGATGCTTAATGCAGGAGCTGCTCGCTAGTGGTCAGTGTTCTCCCATAGGGGGAGCACCACTCAGCCAGAAGCTGGGTTCATGGCTGATGAGTGGCAGTGTTCCCACCTCCACAAGGCACTAATGATGTCTGACTAACCACGGAGCAGACCTAAG